ATTTTGTGAACTTTTAGAATTGAAGAATGAAGTATGAACCTCCAGCAACTTTCTCGTATAAATTTTATTGCTCTAGACGTATCCAGTAATTAGTTATTAACAGTTTTAATACGTGATGTCGGGAACGACAACGCATACCGTCAAGTACCTTTCCGGTTTTTCAATAATTTCATAGTTTTCGACTAAATTCTCGTGCAACTAACTGTATGCTTCTGAAAGGCAACTCCTTTGGCTACATTCTTGTGTAAGTTTTGTTAACATATTCAGTTTAGTTTAAGAGTTATTAAAGATTATATGTGAGCGTTCCCTTTTTACCGTACTCGAGTATACCCGACTGTTATGAACAATTGCTAATATCTAATAAACCACACCACTTACGGCTATCAAACTTACTGTAGAATATAGTGAAAGGTCTATACTACATTCCCATATGAGTTTTGTTAACATATTCAGTTTAGTTTAAGAGTTATTAAAGATTATATGTGAGCGTTCCCTTTTTATCGTACTCGAGTATACCCGACTGTTATGAACAATTGCTAATATCTAATAAACCACATCACTTACGGCTATCAAACTTACTGTAGAATATAGTGAAAGGTCTATACTACATTCCCATATGAGTTTTGTTAACATATTCAGTGTAGTTTACGAGTTATTAAAGATTATATGGGAGCATTCCCTATTTATCGTACTCGAGTATACCCGACTGTTATGAACAATTGCTAATATCTAATAAACCACATCACTTACGGCTATCAAACTTACTGTAGAATATAGTGAAAGGTCTATACTACATTCCCATATGAGTTTTGTTAACATATTCAGTTTAGTTTAAGAGTTATTAAAGATTATATGTGAGCGTTCCCTTTTTATCGTACTCGAGTATACCCGACTGTTATGAATAATTGCTAATATCGAATAAACCACATCACTTACGGCTATCAAACTTACTGTAGAATATAGTGAAAGGTCTATACTGTATTCCCATATGAGTTTTGTTAACATATTCAGTTTAGTTTAAGAGTTATTAAAGATTATATGTGAGCGTTCCCTTTTTATCGTACTCGAGTATACCTGACTGTTATGAACAATTGCTAATATCTAATAAACCACATCACTTACGGCTATCAAACTTACTGTAGAATATAGTGAAAGGTCTATACTACATTCCCATATGAGTTTTGTTAACATATTCAGTTTAGTTTAAGAGTTATTAAAGATTATATGTGAGCGTTCCCTTTTTATCGTACTCGAGTATACCCGACTGTTATGAACAATTGCTAATATCTAATAAACCACATCACTTACGGCTATCAAACTTACTGTAGAATATAGTGAAAGGTCTATACTACATTCCCATATCATGTGTGTTAACATATTCGGTGTAGTTTACGAGTTATTAAAGATAATATGGGAGCGTTCCCTATTTATCGTACTCGAGTATACCCGACTGTTATGAACAATTGCTAATATCGAATAAACCACATCACTTACGGCTATAAAACTTACTGTAGAATATAGTGAAAAGTCTATTCTACTTTCTTCATGCTTGAAAGTACAAAATTAATCCTGCTTATTCATGAAAATGAAGATAATGTGTTAGCCTTGAATACGACGAGTGTAGTACTTACCCAAATAAGGATTAATATCTCGAAAATTACGACAGATATGTTAATGAAAATTTAACGAGAAAGTAGCTAAAGGAACTGCCTTTCGAACGCTTGTATAAAAGTGCATAAAATATTTGTGCAAAACTACAAAATTAATAAAAAAACCAGAACAGTGTGCGGTATCGCTGCCGACACTCTGTACAATAATTGTTAATAACTAATTATGGGAAGGATATAGTGCATTAAAAACTACATGAGAAAGTTGCTAAAGGTCCATACTTCATTCTTCAATTCTAAAAGTTCACATAATCGTCGTAATTATTTGGTTATTAACGATTTTTCATCGATCGATTTAATCTGGGGCCTGATAGGTGGAGCACGGCGGCCCGCCGACCAATAGGAAGCGTTCTCTCTCTGTCCTTGTCGCACACTAGTGCTATCCTTGTCTAAAACCTCTGTTTATATTCTGTTATCCTATTAAGAAATCGTAGTTCGTGTCACCTAACGCAAGATGGCGTTACTCTCGTCCGCCATTTTTTTTTCTGTCCTTGTCTAACTCATTACTCTTGTGCTATCCTTGTCTAACCCTATTTCTTTCTTTGCTAACGCAATACTCCCGTGCTTTCCTTGTCTACCCCTATTTCTTTCCTTGTCTAACTCATTTCTATAGTGCTATCCTCGTCCACCCCTATTTCTTGCCTTGTTTAACTCGTTCTTTAGTGCTATCTTTGTCTACTCGCATTCCGTTCCTTGTCTTACTCATTTCTGTATTGCTAAATACCTCAGCGAGTTATCCTTCGCGGTAAGCACGACTATTGATGTTACAACACCATCTTTCAATAAGAATTATGCAAAAATTAATCACACAAATCTTAGATTTAGTTTATTTAATTTTATAATGGAATATTATTTAAAGAATGAGTGCTTCACGAAAGGAAGTGGACGTGGTGTGCAAGGGAGAAATGAATAAACTGTAAAATGCTGCAAAACAATGCTGGTATATTATAGCTTTTTGTAAAGTACATTTTGTACAGTTATTTTACAATAAATAATTGATTTTTTGATAAATAATTATATATCTTCATTTTTCTTGATGTTCAAGTCCTTTTCTTGGTTTCTGATGTCTTGGAAGGTCCATCTGTAATTGATACAAGAACATTAATTTTTCTAATTCTTAATAACAGGTATAAACAATTTCTGACTGTGATGCAATGCTTAATTCAATGCAAAATTAATATATTAAGCTGTTTTATTAAGTTAAACCATACATTAATTTTATTTAGTGCTTCCAATAATAATAAACAATCATCTAAATTGTTATTTAACAAGAAATACTAATTACTCTATGTATAATTAAAGTACTCGAAAATAAACCAGAAACTTTATTTTACAATCTACATTATGAATAATGATAAAGCAATATAAAATTTATTATAAGTATTAATATTAAACTGTTTACTACATGCGGTTATGCTCTAAATTACAATAACTATTATTAAAAGCGAAAAATTCATAGAATTTCTATTTAAAAAATCAACCAACCTGCTAATTCTTCGTTCCTAACGACGATATTGTCAATCATTTCCCTTTGAATGCTGGCGGCAGATTGACGATCATCGCAATACCTTTGGTCTTTCATACAACTCTCAAATTAAACTCTTCCAGTAAAAAACTGCGTGACTTCTAATGTTCTTCCCGTTGAAATATCGTTCGATTTAAAGTATAGAGCCTGTGACAATGTTTTCAAGCTTCGATACACTTATTTGAAATAATTGTTGCTAAGTGTTATCGTCAGGATTAGTATCATCATGGCGACGTCCAGTAACAAGTATAATAATGTTTAATTATTGTTCGATCTTTCTATTATGTAGAAATAATGTTTAATCTTGTTTCTGTTTTTCAATCTGTGTGCATAAATTACAGTTGGTTATCATTTACAGAATCAAAGATTGTGAAGTATGCAGTACGGATAAAGCAATATACACGTGTCCGAAATGTGAGGTTAGGACTTGTTGTCTTCGGTGTGTAAACATTCATAAAAGAGAATTAGAATGCGATGGTGTCCGAGATAAAACAAAATTTGTAACGTTACAATCATTTACGGATTTGGACCTTTTGAGTGGTAAGTTGTATTCGATTTATAAAATTTTATTTGAAAGATTTTGCATATAGAAATACTTATTTTATAGATTACAGACTTCTTGAGGAAGTAGGTAGGACAGTTGAACATTTAAAAAGAGATCCATTTAAAAAGTGTACACGTCAAAATAGTTTACCAATGGTTTGTTGAAATGATTGTTTTACATATTTTATGATATAACATACAGAGCTTACTTTTCACATATTATCTTTATAGCATCTAAAAAGATTAAAAACAGCTGCATTTAAGAGGAAAATTGCTTTACAATTTATGCCACAACATTTTTCTAGACACAAAAGTAATACAACTTTTTTAAACTGGAAAAGTAATGAGTTATATTGGAGAATAGAATGGATCTTTCCTCAAGCAGAGTGCACAAAATGGGTAACAGAAAGGTAGACTATCTTGTTAAATTATTGTTATATGTATTACAGTCAACTTTATTGACAATAACATTGTAACAATTATAGGAGTTTAGAATCTACAAGATTATCATTACTTATAGAGGAAATTCTCGATCCTGTTAAATCATTGGAAAATAAAAATAATATAGAAGAACTAAATTTGAGAATGAGTTTAAACGATAGACTACAGTTTTACCAAGCAGCTGGCTTATCTGGAGTAAAAGTACTTTTAAAAGCAGAAAAGATTGCAAAGTCAGATTTAAAGTAAGTAATTTTAATCCTTTGCTTGTATACCATATAAAATATAAATTATGAACTACTGTGTTGATACCTAGGTTTTATGAGTTGGACATTACACTTACATTAATGGAGAATTTAGAAAATAAAGTTATAATAGAATTTCCAGTAATATATATAGTTTTAAAGGACCATTCATATATGTATGAAATTATAAATACAGGTATGTACTTTATGTATTATTATTTTTCTTCAAACTTTTATCAATTTTACAAAGTATCAAGTAATATTCCAGATGATGAGGATGATTCAAAATGTAAAATTAATAACGATAATGTGCTTAAACGAAGAAAACGAACATACAATCAAATGAATATTAAAGAAGAAAAAAGTTCAACTGTAAATTATTTCTTTAATTCCGAATTTTCGGAATCAGAAGAGGAAGAATTAAGTAATAATCAAAAGAGCGATCATTTATCAAATTTTTGTATACCTAATTACGATGAATTAGTTAAAATGGAACAATAAATAAGCTTTGTATCGTACATATCAGAATATCTATGAGTACGTCAGAATGATTACGTTTTTCGATTTAAATGAATGTAGAAATTCAATGTTTTATTGTAAATACAATATTTCAATAGATAGATACAACTGAATTATATATATAAATAAAATAATATTACTGACAACACATAAAATCAACTGTTCCCCCT